GTGATGTTAAGTGACTTTAGTGCAGAAAGCAGAGCAGACCACCAGTCTTTAAATTTGAAGGAGTCATTATAAGGCCAAAATGTTAGGGGACTTTATAAACTAAATACTATTATTTTTTTTAGTAAATAAATCCATATTTAACATTAATTCAAAAAAAATTTTTTTTGGTAGTTTTTTTCCTTTTTATTACAAAGCATTCATATATAATATGTAATTTTCATAATTTAATTTTTCTAAAAAGATTATACTAAAAAAATACTATAATATTATATTATAATAAATAAACATCTTTTCTATTTTTAAAAATACTAAAATTTTATAAATTTAATTTATTTAATTAGAAAAGAAGCATTATAAAAATGATTTTATTATAAAAATTATAGTAAAAGTAATAAAAGTAGTTCTTTACAAAAAAATTTGCAATAATATTTTTAGGGTACTTATTTATTTTAATATATTTAATAAATTTTTTTATTTTTATTTTCTATAAATTATAAGTAATGAATATTTGTAAATTTATATAATTTTTTTGATTTATTAATGCTTATTTTATAAGAAATAACTGGAAATTTTTTGAAAATAAAAATAAAATATAAAATTTATAATAAATGTATATATAAATTTAAATTATTCTTATTTACACAAAAAATGATTATCTAAAATTATGCAAACTTACATAAGTAAATTTCTAATATACTGTAAATAGATCAGTAAAATTAGTTGTATAATGTAAATAGTAAAAGATGTATTTAGCATTAATTCATCAACTTTTAAAAAGTGTATTTAGAAAGTATGTGTATAAGTTGCTTGTCTAAACTTATTTTGGATTTGACAGAATGTCAAAATTTTAGTTTTGCTAATTTTTTACTAAGGTTTTAATATAGTTTTGCATTTTTATAAGCTTTGATATAGTTTTACCTTTTTCAGAATTTTGTAGATTTTTTAATAAAGATTTAATATATTTTTGCTAAATTTTACCTTTTTTTATTTAGACAACTTGTAAAACTTCTAGGTTTTATTTAGCAATCTTATGTGTGTATTTATAGGTAATATATTTACAAAAAAAATTGTATAAAATAAATCTATTAATAAATAATTATATAAAAAATAATTATTAATAAGAACTTTTGATATAATTACTAAATTATATAAAAATTGATATTATTAATTAATTATTAAATCTTTTTTTTTAAATTTGAAAATTAAAATAAATATAAGATTATATAAGTTTTTAAATTAAATTTTATTTATATTGTAAATTTATTATTTATTATTTTAATACGAACTAAAATTAGCAAAATTTGACGCCCTTCACATATATTTAACCTTTGATATTTACAAATAGAGTAACCTTTGAAATTTTTATTAAATAATAATATTAAATGAGAAATCTATTTTATTATACATATATAATTTTTTTTAATTAATAATATTGATTTCTAAATGACTTAAAAAGAATTCCGTAAATCGTATATATTTTAATATTAATTTGTTACAGAATTAATAAAACAAAAAAAAATTTTTCAATATTGAAGCATCAATATTTAATTATTATACAATATGGTTGATCGTTTATTTTTTTTTCTGTTCTAGTACCGAAAAATCAAATTGAAGAAAAAAAAAAAAAAGGAAAAAATTCTATAAAAAAATGTATATACAAGAATAAAAAAAATTAAAAGAAAGTAAAAAATTATTTAACAAGAAATAAAAATAAATGAATGAATGAATGAATAAAAATGTTTTAATATAGAACGCGTACAAAAAAAAATTCTTATCTAATTCCAAAATTTTTATTTTTTATTTTATTTTAATATTTTTTTTTTTTTTTTTTTTTTCCAACGAGTTTTGGAGGTACTAGAAACTAATAGTAATATTATACTTTTGATTTTTTAACCGAGGAAAATATCTCGGATAAAGAAAAGTTTTCAAACAAAAAACAGGCTAAACAGCCCAATTGTCCTTTTCGTTTGATATGATTATAACAATGTTCAAGAAAATAAGGTTTCCGACATTTTCATTAATTTTATAATTATATAGAAAAAGAGAGTGTTCGCACTAATATCTTTGAGGTGTGGATGTATATATCATCCCTTGTATTATAGTAGATGAGGGAATAGGTGGAGGTAACACCATCTGATGATGATTATGACCGCAATAGGGTGGAACAAAGTTGTTGACGCCAGCGTCATGCATTGAAGAATTTGATTTTAACGAAGGATGAATGTTCCACTTTTGTTGAGGTAAATAGGATTGTTGAAGGTAAAACTGCTGTTGATAATATTGATGATGAAGTTGCTGTTGGTTATGATAAACTTGAGCTGATATGGGAGTAGCTATTGAAGAAGAAGAAGATCCTGAAGAACAAGTTGAGGTTGAAGAAAGCCTTCTTCCATATTGGTCTCTTTTTATCTTTAGTGGAGCAAATGTTTCATCGTTTACTGATGTAGTTTCATCGTTAGGAACATGATCATCTTTCTCTTCTTCATCAGTATCCATATCGTCGTCGCCACTTAACGCTTGACAATAATCATCGATATAAGAAGATGGATATGATAGAGTGTAATTTGAGCTCGATGATGATGATGAAATGATAGTAGGTATTGACATGGAATTAACACCTGTATTATATATTGAAAGAGAGGAAGTAATTGAAGCTTGCGTAGTTTGTTGAGAATCTTGATTTATAGGGTAAGAATCCTGTCTCGGAGGAGGTGTTTGATGTATTAATTGTGAAAATTGAGATGAAGTATGTAGGTTTGGATATGAGAGAGCTCTTTGATGTTGAATGGTTGGAACTTTCAAAGCGTCTATCATAATTGCTTGATTCTTATTCAATGAAGGAGGTTGTAAAAAGATTCCAAGATGAAGTAATAGGTCTGACTCTTGAATTCTAAGGTCATAATCTAATAAGGAGAGCAATTGTCTTTCCATTAGATTAACTTTTGCGACAGAGTAAACGCCTGAAAATCTTGCCCAATACTTGTTTCTTGGTGATGAATCGTTAAGGTATTTTCTAGATGATAAAAAAAAAAAATAAATAGTTTGTTTGGTTAGAAATGAATCAAAATAATAATTATAGTAATGATGGTAATATCTCGTGAAAAGATAAGAAGTAAAAATGGGAATCTCATTTGATGCAATGACATGCCATAAATACATGAAACAATATTATAACAAGTTTACATGGCAAACAAGAAATAACAAAATCCGAAAACTTACGAGGTAACAATTAAGGTAGCAAGAAAGACTCTATGACGAGTACAGTGCATTCCTATAATTAAAAAGAAAAAGTTTAGTTAGTTATGCGTTATAAACTAGTAAAGAGACCAGTTTGTCAAAAAATGATTTAATACAAATTTGGAAGTATCAATAAACACGGCCCAAAAACTCATTATCCGAACGGATAATAATGGTCATCTCCATTCCCATAATACTATTGTAACAATGAGCCTCCCAACTAATCGTTGATAATCGTGGCGAGAAATTTTCCCTTTCCTTTTTTTTTTTTTTTTTTTCTTTTTTCTCCTTTTTTAGTTTCTTTTATATTTTATTTATTTATTTTTAAAGTAAACACATCATTTTCTATAATCTATATAAATTCGGCCGTAAACTTTCCATATGCGTCAATCAAAACGATCAAATGGGCTATTCATAAAGCAGTCAGCCCATGTCACGTGATAAGCCAATCATTACATCATGACCAATGAATCAGAGACGGAATAAACCTGATTTCCAAGCCGTGTTTAATGAAACTCGTAATTCATACAATGACATACCTCTTGCAAGTTTTGGTAATTTTTTTTGCAAACGATCCAAGTAAACGATTGTTGTAAGAAGGGTCGCGGTTGATACGTTTGAATTCTTTACAAGACAACGTATGAAGTTGTTTAAAGGAGGTAAAGGATGTTGATCGTCGTCACCAAAATTTGGTGATTGTTGTATTGAGATATTTTGTTTTGTAAGAGGATCGCAAGGAATAACTAACGCTGCCTTATTTGTAATATATGCTAAAAAAATAAAAAAAAAAAAACAACAAAATAAACATTTAGCAAAATATAATTCAAGATGGGGGAGAAAAAAAAAAAAATTTACCTATCATCTGAGAGGTAATAGGACCGTTAACCAAATTTTTTAAAGCGGCACTTGCCATGATAAATTCAGTTTCTTTTTAAAAGTTGAAAATTTTAAAAAGAAATATAAAAGAGGAAGAGAAAGAAGCAAGGCAATATATCAAGACTGTCTTAAATCGTAACGAATTTTGCGAAGGTAGAAATAATGGAATGATGGTTGTTTATATATAAATGGGGGCTTATTATATAAATACAATTAAAGTAGTATATGATGAGGTTTTCATTCAGAGTTAAAAGGAGTTTTTAAATGAATTATTGATAAGAATCGCGAGGGATTTACGGTAATTTGTTTTCGCGAGGAAAAAGTTGGACGAATAATATAATGAATAAATTGTAATTGTAAAAATCGAATAAAAATTGTCAAAGTTTCAATGGAAAGAAAAAAAAATTTTTTTTTTTTTTTTTTTTTTTTACAAGAACAGGAGGGAAATGATGGGAATGTGTAGTGTCTTTATATTAAAAATAATTCGGATTGTAATAAAGACGGCTTTTACGGTTTTTTATGCATAACAAAAAAAAATTTTTTTTTTTGTTGAGTTACCAAAAAATCTTAAGGCCGGAAGATCAGGAGCAACCTAATGAGATTTATTTTAGTCAGTCAATAAAAGATATACTGTGATACATATTACGAAGTGATGGGATATTTTAAAAATCAAATAGAATTAATATATATAAATAGTTAATTTATTTATGTAACCAAATTGGAAATGAGAAGTCAATAGGCTTTCAAATGAAATCAACAACTTCTCCTTTTGTTTCTATTATACAAACTCCTTACAGGGAAATCATCATATAAGGAAATGAATGCATTAAATCGAGTCAACCATATAATCATGCGAACCTATTATGGAAAGGACATTAATAGTAAATTTCATTGGCATAATCAATAATTATTTTTGATTATTTTAAATGACCGCGCTGTGCCGTAGTCATCGGTAATATGCCCCTTGGCAAAAAGGTTGTTTGAACGCAGCATTAAAAAAGAAATTAAGTACGTTTCACAAACTAATTTAATTTATTATTAATTATTATTATTATTTATTATAATTTAATTATTTTTTTTTCGTCTTTTTTTTTACTTTTTTATTTTTATTTTTAATTTTTATATTTTATTTTCTCCTTTTTTTTATTTTCTCTTTATTTTATATATATATATATATATATATATATTTTAAACCCTTTTTGTTTCTTTTTTCTTTATGTCTTTATTTTAATTTTCTTCTTTTTCTTTTTCCCTTTCTTCCTTTGTCGAAAATGGTCATTTTCACGAGATAAATTTTTCATAATTTTGTGACCTATTAACTTTTTATTAGCTACAAACGATTATGAAAATCTTTAATAAATGCCACATAAATTTTACACGAATACAAGTGTGGTAAAATTAATGAATATAGATTTATTTATCCGAATTGGATGTTTATCGGTATTTTATTAAAAGAACAATAATTTAATTCTTCATAAAATTAATTTGTGTAAATTTATTTAATTTTTATTTGTCTTTTTATAATAAATTTCCATAAATGGAGCGATGATAATGGGTGATATGATGTAGGAAATGTATTATAATGTATTATATTAGCATTCGAACTCTATTAGAAACATGTGTTACACTTGTTTGTTACGCTCTTTTAGGGTAAAATTTATTGTCTCCCAATTTATGGGATGTAAAAAGTAATTTAGAATAAATTGATTTGCCGAGCTCGACAAAAATACCAAAGGACAAGAGAATGGTTGGTTCGGTTGGTTCCGTATCGCATAATTATCAACCATTGGATTACTAATTATTTATCTCGTAATGATGTCTCAAATGGAAAAAAAGGAAATTTTTAATTTGATTGATGTGTTCACCTCATTACCGTTCTTGCGCAATTGGTAATTTAACAAATCTGTATTCATTCCTACCCTTTTTCATAAGAATTTCTCGGTTAGGAGAGAAACCCTACGGTGATTGTTCGCCCGTCAATTTCTATCACATCATGCCATGTAAATCCTGTTAATTTTTGGAGCCGATCGTATACATTGAGTAAATCAATTCAATATTACCATAAATGATTTAAGTCATCACGGCCGCAATAACTTTAGCCTGTTGCCATTATTTCCATAATTAACTCTTTGACAAATTTGGTATCTCTCTTGTTCATCTTTTTTATTATTGTGTGTATATATATCCCTTTGTTGGGTAAAATAATAAGTAATCCAAATCTCGACCTCATAATAATATTAAATTCCCAAACGTGGTAAAATTATTTCCCCGTCATACCTTTTTCTTTGTTATCGATAAATATTTCGGAAAACAATAGATGAAACCTGATGTTAGATGTATAAATCAAAAAAAAAAGGAGTCTGTTTGGCATCATTGACCTTTTTTTCTCAAACATTTTGTTACATACCTTGTGTTGTAAAACTTTAAATTTGAAACCATGAAATCCCGTACTTGTCATATGATCGAATGATCGATATGCTTGGCCTTTCCCCAATTTTGGTTAGTTTTTTTTAACCCTTAATTCTTACAATCTTTTTTCATTTTTACTTTTTTTTTTTCATTTATACAATGATACAATACATATTTAAATTTTCCATTTTCAATTCCCAATTTCCGTTATCAGAGTTATCAGTTTGATTTCCGAATCGGAAATATCCAATCTCAGGTACCACCTACTTAATGAAAACTTCTATTGTTCTTTCATTATGTTATACAAACTATAATATATACAATCACTACTTTATTAAAATTTTCCTGCCTTATATAACTCATGGGAAAAAAAAAAAAAAAAATAAGATTTGATATAATCAAAGGAAAAAAAAAAAAAAAAAAGGAAATCTTTGTTTCATTTATCATTCTTCCTCAAATCTGATTTTATTATTCTTCCATATTTTTTTTTTCATTATGTCATTGTATCTTGTAACTATTATTGCATACACCGAAATGGTTTTTTGCCGAAACGGACATTTTTGTTTTAAAAAAAAAGAACTGGTTGAACATCTCGTTTTTTTAAACTTTATGACATTATCGCTCGGTTAATTTAGTAATATTTAAATTTTTGTGTCGCTCATAATAAAACATTACGTGACCCAATGATAACATCTGATACTATTTGACCACGTGATGTATCTACGGTATTTCCGAAAGAATCTAAAAGGTGATAATCATAATAATAATTTATATATTATTCAATTAAAGAAATCTCCAATGAATTTCAAGTTCTAGATTTAATTTAATTATGAACCTTAAAAAGGTAATTTGAAATAAACAAGTTAAAATTTGCGTCTTTAAATAACAATTTTTAAGTAAGTTATATGGGGCTTCGTCAATAGAAACACATAACATAATAAATTATTAGGTAAGATGGTGTGACGAAGCACCCCATATATATAGATATCCTTTAATACATTTTCAAATTCTTAATTATTAAATTGTAAACAATATTAAATATAATATTAAATATTTATTTAAAAATTTACAATTTTAAATATTTACCATTCTAGTATTTTCCATAAATATTTATAATTAAATACTTTTTATTAATAATTTCTATCAAAAAAATTATTTTAATGTATAACTTAAACATGTAGAACCTTTTTTCATTAAATTTAGAAAAATCTAATTAAATAAAATATTTATTATAAACAAATTAATTAATCACAAATATAACAAGTATAAAAGTTTTGCAATAAAAAAAAAAAAAGAAAACCAAGAAAAATTTTGTTTTAAATCTAAACTTTAATATATAAAGTAAACTTTTTTTTTTTTTGATAATTTCCTTTCTTTTTATCCTTTAAAAATATCAATAGGTTAAAACTCAAAATTTTTTAAAAATAATTTTAAAATAAGCAACTTTAATTTGATAAATAATAAACTTATTTTTTTAAAAAATACTCTATTTTTATTAAATATAAATCTTTTATTTATTTATTTTGTCTTATTATTAATATTTATTTTAAGTTTTATATATATTATTATATATTATATATATAGTTGATCCTCTCTATAGTCATCTTTAAGATTACTGAATGAAATCTAGAGGTTTTGCAAATAATTTAAATAAAAAAGGTAAAATTTAGTGAAATTATATTATGTCTAAATAGAAAAAGATAAAAATTTAGCAAAATTATATTAAAATCTTATTAAAATTTTATGGAATTCTAGAAAAAGGTAAAACTATATCAAAATTTATAAAAATGTAAAACTATCAAAACCTTAGTAAAAATTAGCAAAATTAAAGTTTAGACATTTTTGCCAAATTCAAAATAAGTTTAAATAAACAACTTTAGTCACTTTATATACTGTATAATTACCTTTTCTTTATAAGTATACTTATATTGATCTAAATTACTAATAAACTTATTAAAAAATCTCTTTTAGTCAAATCAAATAATATTTATATAATCATATTATTTTTCAATATGACTATATAAAAATTAACTGTAATTATAATATAATACATTTTTTAAATAAAATATTTTAACTTATAAATTTAAATATAAGTCATATAAAATATATTTATCTTATAAAATTATTTTATTAATATTATTTATTATTATATATTTAATAATTTTAATATTAAAAATTTATTAAATATTACTTTTAAGAAAATTTCTAAATTTATATAAAATATATGTATTCAGATTATATGACATATATTTATCACTAGTGTTATTCTCTTTACCTTTAGTTTTTACTATTTATTTTAAAAACTTAGAATTTTTTTAGTGAAAAATTATTATTTATCATTATCTATTTATCACATGACTAATATTTAATTTTTTAATAGTAATGAAAAAATGTTAATATTAGTTATGTTACATGATATATGTATATATATCTGTATACAAATAGAAATAGTATATTTTTAATTAATTATATTTATATTTAAATATTCTTTTTATATTTAAAGATTATTTTTATATTATATATATTAAAATTTAATCTATATATAAATTATCAATAGAATTAATAAATTAAAATAAATATGATTAATAATTAATTATAAATATAATAAAGAATTTTATATATTATATT